GGGAAGCTAAAACATGCAGGGTGTTTTTTAGGGGATAAGATGTTTAACTTATATTTAGACATGGCTCTAGAAAGGACATTTTGTGTTGCCAAGTTCAAGTCTCCCAACTAACTGGCAATAGACAGTTTTCCAGGAAACAAGAAAAATGATTTTTTTTTTAAGGTTATCCTCCCATTTACTTAAAGCATGTTGGACCATTAGGTTGTAGTTCACACAAAAAAGAGCCATAATCAGCTGTTTCATACATCTGATGTTTTTTGGTTTGTTCTTTGGTTTGTTCACTGTAGCTCAATTAATTAATTAATTAATTCATTCATTCATTCATTCATAGAAGTAGTAATGTTTACTTTTCTCTACAGAGGAACGATGAGATTTCATACACTGTCAGGGGTAAGAATACAATCAAATAGAAGGGGATGATTTATACATAAAAGAAAGAGGGGAAAGTATTTAGGGGTCCAATCCTTACTCTGAGAGAAAATAAATCTTCATGTCCTTTTTAATGTGAATCATTCATTCACAATTACCATAGAGGAGCTTTTTTAGCATTAAACATAATCTCTGTATTTTTCCAGTCGACTCGGTCGGCACCTTGACTGAGTTTTTTAAAACGTGCACAACATTTCTCAACATGTTCTGTTACAGAATTGGGTGTTTCAAACGGATGGGATGGTGTAATATATTGTGATACCTCCCATTTGGGTCAGCCTTAAAAACAGCCAGCATGCTTCCCAAGAAATCACCTTCTGTCCGGAAGCATCTTTTTTTGATTTATACTACATTTATCAGCAAATGCCCTTATCTGCCTGTCAGCTAATGCTAGGTAGGGTAACTTGGCTGGAAGTTTTCAGTATTCAGTATCCTCTAGTTTGTTTCACCTGTTTCTAATTTTTGCAAATTTCTTGCATTGCCATCTTTTATTCAGTGTCTGCATATAGCTAACAGGATTATTAAAATCTGTATTAGTACTGCAGTCAGCTGAGACAGGACTTCCTTCAAACCCTCACAATAAAACGTATATCGTTTGTTACCTATTAAAAACAAATTAATAAATAAATGGTGATCAATTTATTTATTTGCTCATTATAAATATGCAAGCAAATCCAATTGGTTTATTTTGGGTTGTTCTGCTAACTGTAATTGGTCAATAAACCCACCTTGGGGTGGAGTGTTATTCGATATTAATATATATCTGAATGTGAATTGATTGAATAGAGAACATTTTCAATATTTAAATATATATGTTGCAATTATAAGACAAGAATTTTCACTAACCCCAGATTTACTATAGAGCACGGACTATTGCTGTATTCTTTTTTAGCGGATGCGTCCTCTGAAGGACCCAGCCTACCTGGACTGGGTCCTTTGAAGGCTGTGAAAATGAAGGTGAAAGAGTTAAGCCATTGATTCAAACAGGTCAAGCCTTCTCTAGGGCCGTTTGTCAATTCACTAGAATGCGAGTACGGACTCGGGTCCTCGCCAAGTATGTTCTAGAGGGAGAACGGGAGAACGCAGCATAGATATTGGTCAATTGGAACAGAAGCGTACTCGCGACATCACCACATGCCCGGCTCGTCTAGAGCTGCATTTCACCACCTGTTATTAATAGTCTCTAGATAATAATAAATTATTACTTTATTCATTTTGTGGGGGAATAATGGTGGATACAGTCAGATAAATACAAATCAAATGAACATTTTGCCAAAAAAAAAAAAAACGAAAAAAATCGCCATCAGAGCGAGCGGTCCTTCACACACGGCTATGCCGACAGAGGGCTGCTGCAGACGGGCTGCGGTTAGCCCTGGCTGCGTTAGCCTCCGAGCTCCGCTGGTTGACGCGGTGCTCTCAACTTCGAAAATTGTTTTTTTTTAAATATGCATTAAATCGGTGAATGGACCATATATTGATGCTTTAAAGTATAATATTCTCGCCTCAAATGATCTTAAAACTTACTTTTATTGAACAACAGAAAAGACAACTTTTAGCTTTAATGGAGCGCTCCATTGAAAGCTGCTGCAGTGCATGCTGGGACAGCTGTCAATCTCAAGAACGCACAAGTCTGCACTGATGCATGCTCGGTAAATGGGGAGGGGCGAGAACAAGATCCAGGGACTTTGTCCGTTCTCGGTCTGCTGTTCTTTTGAATTGGAACAGTACTAGGGCTGAGGTTGATGACGTTTCACGAGTACACATATTAAAAAACGTCCTAGCTGTCACTTTCCCTCACTCGCCTATCAACACTGACAATTGACTCACAAAGTAGGCAAAGAATGGATGACGAACTTCTTACCACTGTTCTGTCTGCTAATTGTTTTCAAGGAGCTTCAGCGGCAGTACCATCATCTTGTATTTCAGATATTTTAGACATATTGCAATCTTTTTTTTTTTTTTTTTGCTTCCCTGTTGGTCACGTGACTCTGGCTCACTGCATCATCTTTGTTCTCTCTCTCACCCAGAAGAAATCCCACAATGCTTTGCGAAGAAAGCTCTTGAAAAGCATTTTGGGATTTTTCTGCTCGTGTAGTGACCATGGATGCACACTACTTTGCAAGGTGCATTGTTGGAAATTTTGAGTGCACTGCTTCATCATCCACTAGACATTCAGACACTCGTCTAAAATTCAAAAGGGTGGATGTTCGGAGACAGCCCATATGTAGTTTTTTTTACTCCTAAGCCTGATGGACCAGGAGGAAAATAATCGGACCAAAATCTTCAGAGAAAAGCTTGCTATTTAACGTGGAAGATTAAGAAACGATCCCTAGAGACCTGCTGTAGGAGTAAATTGTGCTGTAAAATATTATTTTCAGCTTATTTACATTACGTGTCTGCTACATAGATAGAATGGAAAATAATACATCTGGTAATAAAGTTTTTCAATGAATCCCGTTTCTGGCAGCCTTGTTACGATGGTTATGATTTTCACCCAGAGATGACAAAAATGATCCGTAGAGATCCACTTTATCAATATATTCCTCTCTAATCTTATATTTTCAGTTTATTTACATGTCTGCCATTTCAAAAATTGGAAACATAAATAGAGTAGGCTTTAATGCAGATCTGGTAAATAAAGAAAATTACGATGAATCCCCTTTCCCACAGACCCTCACATCACTATAACTACTGGAGTTCATTTATGCAACAATCTAAAGCTTACACGTTACTAATACACATTAGTATTACAGCAGACCAACATATACTTTTTAACGCTAATTTTGTTGTATATTTTTGCTTTATACCCCTTTAAACAAATAAAATAAGAATTAAAATCCAAAGCTTTTTGTTGGATATATTTGATTGCTGCTCCATTTCTTTGAGGGAACAAAAATAGACACCTAGGACTTTCTTCTTCCTTTTAAGTGTAGATGTAATGTCACAGTTAAAGGCCTTTTTCTGTAGTTACTCTTCAAAAAATGAAAGGAGGAGCGAACATGGTACTTACCTAAAGCAAATGTTTGTAGTTCTTCATACATGAGGAACACCTTACTCAAAATAGATTTGCTATTACCTTTTCTATGAAGTCAGATCTACCAAGAGTGCATGTGTCATAAATACTACTACAAGCAGTTTTATTTAAAAAAAAAAAAAACACGCATGTAAAGTTTTCTTCCTGTTCTATACATGCAGATTCAATACTATGAGGCCCCCAATATATCACAACCATGAGTTCATGCTCCTTCTCTGCACTCCTGCTTTGCTTTTTTGCAGCTGTAGATTCTGTCCTGCTTGTGTGTACACAAGCAGCTTGTGTTTCTGTGCGCTTATTTCAACTTTTTGTCAGTTTGAATGTGGAACCAACCTGAGAAAAGTAAACTGCTGATGATTGGCTACTTTTTAGGAAATTCCACCTCTAATGTTTTCCTCCCCAGTGTTTGTTAGCAATGTTAGCAAAGCATCGTTGGGCTTGAATCATGGAACGTTCAGAATGTGCGTGGAGAATCATTTACATGCATATGTTTAAAATGAAACTATCAGTATTTATGACGCATTTTCACATTTGGCACAATTATGTCGTCATACTTTTCTTCCTGTCTTTAGAAAAAGCGAGCTATTTTAGTTTAGTTTAGTCTAGTTTAATTTAGATTATATTACCCCTGTATGTTTTTTGTGATATACATGGTGTGTGCTTTTGTTTTTATTTGCGTTTTAATTTTCAGTAGAACAAAAGTTAGCTAATAAAGTCTTTGATTTTGGGGAATAAAACCAATTCAATAACTGCTGTTTTTAATCAGCACTTTCAAATTCATGGAGGTTTGGGTTGTTTCCTGCATGCAGGCAGTTGTCAGCTAAATGGAAGCACTGGTTGGTGCTGGAGAACTGGAGACCGGCATGGGTTAACATACCAGCAGCAAACAGAGCAAACAAAAAAACAAAGTGGAAGCAGCACCATGAACAAGCTCCAAACTGCAGAGCCTCAGAATCTGGCAGCAGTAACGCTTTTAGCGCACTGTTCATCCTCTGCCCACTGATGCCATAATCCTGGATGTAAAGCATCAGTTTGTTTGTGTGCGGCAGCTCCGCGGTGTTTGGCACAGTTGGGTGTCCAAAGCTGTTATTAAGTATCACTGTAAGCAACGGCAAGCAGGCAGAATTATTCCAGGGTCAAGAACATAGGATTAGATCCAGGGATTATCGGAGAGCAGTTAGCCTCAGGGATGGAAAAAAAAAAAAAGAAAAGACTTGCCTGTTTGCTAAACTGACGATCCGGCTTTCGTTTTGCTCTGTTCAAGTCTGTGTCCTCCACTGGTTGAAGCGCATATCAGTGTTGAATGTTTGAATAGATCCTCTGTTATAGAAAGAATTTTAGTGTGACACTGATTCTGGTTTTGGAAATTGCTCTGGGCAGATCATGCTCAGCGTCGGGTAAATATTACTGCAATAATGCAAATGAAAGTGGGCTGGGATTAAGACCATAATACTATTGTTTTTAGATGCACCAGTGTGTGTACTCTGTAGATTAAGATGTTCGATGGGTAAACATACTTCTATTTGTCTGTTTTTAGGACCAAGTGATGCGAATGAGTGACTGATGCCAACTTCGCTTCTTCAGGTAAACTAAAGTTCACTTAATGAACTCTTGCAGTGAAGTTCATTTTAAAAAGTTGTTTTGATTTCGATTTATAGGATTAATAGAAAACATTTTATTTATTATCGAAAAGATCCACCAGTTTTTTTTTATTTTGTATAATTCAATCGTACTTTCATTTTGTGGAACATTAAAACATTGAGATTTTTTTTCTACTTAATTAAAATGATTTGCTTATATTTAAAGGAATTCAAACAAACTAATTATGATGCTGTTTATTTAGTTAATAAATGTTTTTATAAATTTAGAGCGTTTGTGCATGTTTGCCATAATCAAACTCAATGTGGTTTTTAAACAGCCTAGTCAATTGTCCAGAGGAAGAGGCTGCAGCTTTAGCTATAGCCAAATTAGGACATTTAAACTTGTTTGCTTTTGTCCAGCTGTTCAGCATTCAGACACATTTAAAACTATATATTTTCTTAATTGCCTCTCTTATTATAATGATTATATTTTTAAATTAAGAACTAATATTGCTTGTGTGTCTCTGTTGCCCCCTATGCAGGGCAGAATGGGTGTGTGTCCCCTGCTCCTGCTTCTTGCTGTTGCCCTCGGGGCCTCAGCCCAAAACCAAAACACAACTACAGGTATGACTAGCATCAGAAGGACATCTTTAGGTTGACCTGATTTAATATTAGATGCTTCACCCTTACAGGCGTCCTTTTCTTTTCTTTGTTTCCTTCTTTTTTTTTTTTTTTTTAAGCCGGTCCTTTAAGTGTTACTAATAACCAGGATGGGACGACCGTCACACCCTCCAACAACCCAACAGATACACATGCAACAACCTCCAAAGCCCCGCCCACATCTGCAGGTCCCACAACCGTCCCACCAACCCCAACAAAAGTGCAATCAGAGACCATCGAATCAACAACAGCAGCTCCCCAAGATGCAGCTGGGGGTCAACCTGATTCCCCGTCACAAGGGCTCTCATCGACGGCTTCTCCCACTACCCTCTCATCTACGACCACACAAGAAACTTTCACTTTCACTACGACAACCCTGGCGCAAGACCACACTTCATCAACCACCACGCAAAGTAGCGCCACAGACGGTAAGTGTTGGTTTACCTGACAAGATAGAGTTTCAAGGAGCCTTTATGTTCCCAAGATCCTCAAAGGTGTAGAGATACCTATAAAGGGCACCGTGACAGAGCAGATCATGGGATATCATCACAGAGCTATTGGCTATTAGCTGCCAGAACAATCCGGTTTCAACAGTTTCACTAAAAATAACAGGAAGCATGTTATTTTTTTTTTTTTTTTTGAAGAACACCAAATGTATAACACATTTTATTTGTGGTACTCCATGTAAACTCTCCTTGGAAAGCCTCTCAGAGCCTCCTGTGGGTCCAAAATGCCTTTATGTTCATATGAAAGGCTTAATTTGGGAGGGTTTGCATTTGCAAACAAGCCCTATCAACGCGAAAGGTAAATTGAAATTCACTGTAGACATGTGTTGCAGATGAGCTTGTATTCGTAGCTTTTCGTGACGCCGTTTAGAGAGACAAGATGTTGATTTGGACCATTTGAACTGAATGTTGCTGCTGAATAAATGGAAAACTGTCTTAATTTTTTCATCAAAATCAGACCAAGCGTTCATCTCATAGGGGAAAGCTTTACTTTGGCTTCAGGTTTCAGAGCTTTCACCATATCTGAAGGAATAAACCTGGGTGGCCTAAATAGGTCTTAGAGTCGATCCCCTGTTTTGATTTGGTTAAGGATTCTAATAAATCTTTAAGTTTTTCATACCTTTAATTATTTATGTTGTGTTTATATTGCTGAGATACTTTTTCATTGCGTTTCTCAAAAAGGTTTTCACAGGCAGAGCAAGATAGGGGAATTTTACTAGAAAGCCTAAGTGGTTTCTGTGTTATTCATGGGGCATGGCACTGCCAAAAAGCTAAGAGCAATGGGAGTGAAGCAAGCAAGTCAATCTTTAATATTTTAGATAGGTGAACATTTTTTTGCTTTTAGCTTCCGTTTTAGCCATTCTGGAAATATCCTTACGTGACATTTTTACATTTGATCATTCATCCACAGAAATACCACATTAAGAGCCCTCTTCACCATCTGTCTCACACGGGAGCTGAGTGGAGGCTGCAGCTCCGCGGATGCATTTATACCGACTGAACTTTGCTGCACTTTGTTGCGCTGCTGCCTCAATGTTACTATTTTATCAGGATTTCATGTGATAGGCTGAATCTAAGCAGCACATAATTTTGAAGTGGAATTAAAACACAAGAGTCTTAAAAGCTTTTAGTTAAAATAGGGGACCAGCAAAATGAGTTGAACACACTCTTAATTAGTGTCCCAAAAATTGCATCTGATGCAGACACCTGCCTTCGCTGCAACCTAATCATTAATAACTTTATTTTTTTTGCATTTTTTGTTTTTGCTTCAATGGCTTCATGCCGTTCATACTGCACTCCTTGATGCTCAATTGCTCTTTTTTTTTTTTTTTGTGAAATGGATTTTTTCATGTTGCCGTTCATATTTCAAAATATATGTGACTTCTATGTGATCTCCTGTGTGAACTGTAGACATACAACACAATTGTCCCGCATGCGCAGTAGAGGACGCAATGACGTCACAGGCCAGCGTGCCCTTTTTTTCCCCGGAAGTAAACATGGATGATAGTGCCGACGCGCATCTAGCGGCCTTTTCCAACCATAAAACCACAATCTTTTCAATATGTTTAAACATAAATACTGCTCTCTGTATCATCATCTGCCATGGTTGTTGTTTTTCTTGCCGCTTCTGCGTAGCAAGACGCATAATAGTGACCACTGTCGGGTATTGATGACGTTCAGGTCGGATGAATGCGACCTGGCCGTTCACACACAGGTCGCATTTGAAAAGATCAGGTTCGTATCGGATTCAGGACCACATAGCCAAGTGGCCCCTGGTCGGATTGGAAAAATCTGATGTTGTTGTTCAGACTGCCATGAAAAGATCAGATCCAGGTTGCATTTGGGCAAAAAAATCGGATTTGGGTCACTTCAGGCTGCAGTGTTAACGTAGCCTTGGATACATGGAAAAGAGGGGGTATGTCAGGCTTGCCATGTTTAAAATAAAACTTTCCCATGTAGGGGGGACAGCAAACCAGAAAGAATGTGCTCTTGTCTATAGCTGAAGTATTCGTTTTTGCAGAAATTCCACACAGCAGGTCAACCTTAACGCTTCTCGTTTTAAAATCTATGCTTTCAGCTTGTTCTGTGACCTTTTGCATCATTGGCGCTGTCCTCCATGTCAGGTTATGGCATGCAGTGCTTCATCCAACCGGCAATCACTTTTAGATGCAAAGTGTGAGTTCAGGGAACTTGGAACGTGATCAACAATGATTATTGCATTCCAAACCCTCCTTTGTGAGTCTCATTGATACAGAGCACTCTTGTACTGAAATTATTATATACTATTATAAAAAAAAAACATTTTAGACCCAACCTTATTTTTTTACTTTTCTTGTTCTAATAGTACCGTATATCACCTGAGAAATGCAGTAAACAGAGAAAATAAAGGTGGTGTGAAAACATCCTTTCCATCACCGAACAAAAATAGTTTTAAATTCAATTAAATTCAGTTTATTTATATAGCGCCAATTCACAACACATGTCATCTCAAGGCACTTTACAGTTCACCAGATCATACAGTCAAATTGATTTAGTTTTCTATCTAAGGAAAACCAGTTGATTGCATCCATTCATTCATTTAAATGCAATCACTCACACTAAGCATGCTTTGAGCGACAGTGGAGAGGAAAAACTCCATTTTAACAGGAAGAAACCTCCAGCAGAACCAGGCTCTGCTGAGGCCGAGTGGGGTTCAAGGAGACAGAAGCAGAGATACAAAAAACTGTAACTGTAAAAGGCCAGGAAACGCACAGCTAAATCCTGAAACAATATCGGGGATCCCCTAATCTAAGGACAACACTTGTAAACGTGAAACCAGAACTACAATGCAGTGGTTCACATTAATTCTAGTATTTTATAGAAATAACCATATACAATGAAGCCTGTAGCAAAGCTTGAAAATGTCTGTTATAGCTATTTTATAAGGAAAAAGTATCAACAATTGTCAGTTTCTAATTCCTCGAAAGCTGCAGTTACAGTGGAAGTTGGATTTATCCCAAGAGACTGTGATAAAATATCTTTGAAATCTATGCATCACTTTCATTTCACAAATATTCACTGCTCTGATTCGGTTTTTAACACCAGATCCTAATTAAAAAAGCAATGCTTTGTGCTATTGAAATAAAAGGGCGAGGGTCGTGCATCTACATGTAGCCCCAGGCTGTCTTCCTTAATGAAGAAAATATTGATTATTAATATTGATTCATGACTAATAAATGTGGAAGTTTAATACTTTTGTGAAGGAAACCGTTTTGCTGCATCACCTCTGAGAAATTATCCAAAGAATTTTGCAGCCAATAAGCATAAACTAATCGGTCAGTTTGAATAAGACATATGTGACTCGACTATATAATCCCCCTATTATATAACTTGATGGCTTTCCGTTCCGAAGGTATTATGCAATTGGTCCATTGTCTCTCTCTCTGGACATCCTTGAGGCTGGAGTGGAGCACAGCGACCGGCTCTAAATGGCATCGGATCCATCAAGGCTGTGTCAGTTCCACATGACACTCGCTGCCTTTTGTTCTCACGCTCTCCTCAATGAACATATTGTCCGACTGAAAACACTGAAAAGTCTGGCAGATTGTGCGTAAAAATGCAGCTTCACTGCTTCTCGTGTTCCTAAATGCTTCTCCCAGACAGAGCAAAAGTCAAGTGATGTATTTAGAGTTGTTTTTTTTTATTTTTTATTTTTATTTTAATCACGTTGAACAAATGATTTTTGTTCTTTAGCGCTCTGACTGTATGATGAACGTTAGTTAAGTCTGTTCTGTTGTGGCACCCCAACGTGTTTCACTCAGACTTAGAACACTTTATTAATCCCACCGGGGGCAATGCATTCGAGCAGTACACGAGGCAAAAGAAATAAATAAACGTGTAATGACATTTAAAAAAGAAAAGATGATTTAAAAAGAAAAACTGTGTCAGGGAGCTTTATAACCAACATTAATAATAATTAAAAAAGTAAGAAACATAGTAAAAAGATTCACTGGCTGCACGTTGAGTACAGGCACGTTTTGTTTACCAAACTCCACTTGTTATTTAAGCAGACCTCATCTTTTGTTGTAATCATGGCAGCCAAAGGTCACAGAGAAGATCTGCACATGGAGGGAATAGGTACAAAATACATGACCTATTGTGATTTGCACGAAGAGCAAAACGAAGGATGGCTACTATGAAGTTTAATTCGTTATTGTTCTTTTTCACAATCGGCTGTGCTGTAAGGCTTTTGATAATAAAACAACTTTTATATCTAAACTTTGAATGATTTTTGTTCAATTTACCGCAAACATTCAGTCTCATATCGATTCCATACAGATGCCGCTATAGTGAATGGTTTATCTCTTCTGTTAAAAAGTGATTTATCTGTTCATTTCTTAACACGTGGAGAAGGAGGAGGAGGGGGTCCAAAGCCTGTAACATATTAATGGATTCCCAGTTTGGATTCCTTTGTCCCAGGTTTCAATTTGACTTAATAAACTACAGCAGTGGCTAAAAGCAAAGCTCAGTCAAGAACATCATTGAAATCGATGAACGATAACTTGGTAACTCGGAACTGCGGTGCAGTTATGCATCACATGTCTTCAGGACTGCATTTACTTCTTTTTAGTTTAATTTTTTGACAACAACAGGTCTTTTCTCCCAGCAAAAGTTTTTCCTTGACCAAAGGAGTAAAAAAACAAATCTGATGTTTTAACAACCTGTCCCATAATCCAGCCATGGTTTCTTATTATTGCTGTAAATTATAGCTTTCTAAAAACTCTTTGTCTTTCTCCTGGTAGTGATTGTTTTAAAGTTGGGCAGATTGCTGATGTCCTACAACCAAAACAATCTGCCTATCAGCATTGTAAAAACTAAAATGGGAAAAGTACTTTGATAGTTGATAGATAGATGCTTATCTCCACTCTGAGCAGGTCACCAGTCTATTACAGGGCAAGACGGAGAAGCCATTTCACACAATAGTCATATTTTTGGACTACCTACTGAGTATCTGGGAACAACCCACCCCTTTAATATCGTTTTCATGATAGACCTGCAGTATAGACTTGGAGAACCATGTCATCACACAGATTAATCATTTCAAATGACGCAGAGTCGAGATCTTACTGTACCTTTGATGGGATTGAGACCTTCCTCTTCCTAATTGATATCAACAGCAGTAATGGAACAGAAATATACAGGTCAGTCTTGCAAAAGGCAGACAGCGTATTACTGACCTGCGGCAGAATTTGTAAAAATCCTTAGAAAGCTAAAATTATGCTAAAAGTTTGCAAGTGTTCAATCTGTGGAGTTACTCGAGTAGGCAAATCAAAATCCCCTGATATTATTTTATATCAACTACATCACTCATATCTGAGGCTTTTTAATTATGAATGTGGGACATGACAGCTCTAATGGCCATCCTATGGGTTTAATACCTTGAAAGTTTTTAAATCAGGCGTGTTGCATTACTGCATATTAGAGAAACGTGTCAGCCAGCTAACTAAACCGTTATTTTCTTAAAACCTTGTTATACCCTCCTGATATATCATGTCAATGTCTATTTCTGACTCATTGAATGTAGGAACTGTTGGGTTTTAGGAAGAACTGTTGTCATAATTGGTAGGCACTGAATCATTAGGATGTAGGTGTTGGAAGTATTCTGTAGACTGTTGTTGACTTGTAAGTTGGTGTTTCCTTCTGTTCTTCTATAGACCTAAAATCTGTTTTTTGTTTGTTTTTTTTATTTTGCAAAAAACAGTTCTCCTCCCACTCTGCTGAAGCTGTTGATGCAACAAAAACCTTGATGGATCAAATAATTTTTCTAACTTGGTCGGACTTTTTCTTCCCCACTCTAAAACAGATGGAGACGATCCAGATGAGTCTGAGGAAATGCAAATAATCGCCGTGATGGTGGCCCTGTCCTCCGTGCTGGTCATCGTCTTCATCATCATCATCCTTTACATGCTCAGGTCAGTCAAAGTATTCTTTTCTCTTCAGACAGCAGAGCCCTGTGTTAAACCGCTGGACGTGCTGCTGCCGCCACACGATGACTGACTGACTGAACTGCTAAAACTGCATGATTGCTCTGCTTTGATGTTTGATAGATTCAAGAGGTACAAACAAGCAGGAAGCCATTCTAACTCCTTCAGATTGACCAATGGCAGATCAGATGATACAGGTAAAACACCCACATGAACACACAGGAGATGTATGCCAAGGTGTGCTTTTTATTTGTTTCCGTGATAAAAACCCAATTTAATTGTTTTTGGTCACACTGCCAAATATTTACCAGCAACTTGATGAAAGCTGTTGATCTTGTTTTTCCTGATAACCCGTGATGGATTTTGTCTCCCGACCGATAGCATTAACTGTTTTCAAGAGGCATTTGTTTATTGTGATTACCTAATCAACGGGGCTTCCATCATTGCGTTGCTGTGTCACACTGCCCTCTGCTGGGCATTTTACAAACTGATGATGAATGTTGAAGTGAGGTTTCCATCCTGAATGGTAGTTCCATTCCACTTTATCTCATTTCTCTATCTCCCTTCCCCTCCAACTCCCCCCCCCTCCCTTTTCCACTCTCGCCTCCTTCCTTCCCGGTTCTTGGAGCAGAACTCCAGAGTGTGCCGCTATTGGCTCGGTCTCCCAGCACAAACAGGAAGTACCCACCCATTCCCGTAGACAAACTCGAGGAAGAAATGAACCGTCGCATGGCTGATGACAACAAGCTCTTCAGGGAGGAGTTTAATGTAAGACAAACTGAAGCAAACATCCTCTGATAGCACACAGAGGTCTGGAGCTTAAAGTTAAAGATCAATTCGAAACTATTTTTAATGCTCCTTATAAAAGTTGGGGAAACGTTCATCTGAGATGCAGTCTAAAAAAAGGTGCCGATGTGCTCAAGCATGTTGAATATGACCTATATTATCTGTTAACATTAAGCATTTTTATATTACCTGGTCATAAATCAAAGTTCTGTAAATCATCTGCAGACTGATTTAAATGATTTAACTGAAATCATTTAAACAACTGAAATCTGTCACTCTGTAATCTTTAAGATTAAAAACAACAATCAAACTTTGATGTCACAGCAAGTCTGCTGCAAGTCCTGCTGCTCAAATGTTTTTAGCATCTGATGAAAAGAAAACTTTGTTGCATGAAGGTAGGATGTTGAAAGCATGTTGCCCATAATAAGCAACCAATCAGTCACATAGCTTGAAGTTCCAATCAGAGTAGAGGAGCTGAGCACAACCTGCAGCCTTAAAAGTAAAGCAGGGCGGTAGATTTTCACCGCCGACAGGCAGCCAGCATGTGGTATTATGGGATGTGTTAAGTGATCGGTTTTGTTGGGACTGAGTTGATCCTTGCTGTGTTTGAGGTTTTGTTGACATATTACCAGTGTTGTCAGTGTGCACAGGGAAAAATAAATATGGATGGGATCTGTTTTGTTTGACCAAAGATGAGATGTGCAGAAATTTTTTTTTATTAATAAACAGGATAACATAAGCTTTCAGGGTGAACAAGAGTTTATCAGAAGTTTGATGTTTCATATTTGACCGGAGACCTTCGGTTTGTGTTTTCTGAGCTAGTTATAAGGTTTGCTAATTTATTGTAGTGATTTGTGAACATTCTTTCCTTGGTTTGTTTGTCTTCTTGAGCACAGTTAATCAGGCAAAAATAAAGGAGTCGGCATCAGAGAAACTGTTAAAAAGGAAAGAACCCTTGGACAGAGAAAAAAAAAGTTATTTAATCTGTTAAGCTTTATCACCTAATAAGTAAAGTTAAATGTTGATTTAAATGGTAAATCTGCATAAGAATAATTATATCTACAATGTATAGGAGGAGTTTCATAGAGTTGGCCAGAAATGTTCAGAAGTAAGATGGGAATCTGTTTTAGGTTCTCTTGGCAGTTTTTTTGCATCTCAATATAGGAATTATATTGTTGGATTGAAAATAAAAATGATGTCATGATATAGGGATATAGGTTTACGCTGCCATTCAGCCCTAGACCTAAATTCAGTAGATCTGTGGCAATTTTATAGTAGAGTTGACCAAAAATATTTCACTCTACATGGCTGAACCTGGTATTAACAATCCTCAGATGTGTTTGTGATTAAAGATATAGGAGACTATAACTATATGCACAAACCGCATGTTTTAGGTTTTGTTTGTAAAAATAGATCACTCTTTAAATTTAAAATGATCAGCTCTGTTTTGTTGATCTAATTCTTTTAAAAAAAATAAATAAATACATGAAAGATTAGAAAAAAAGTGAAAACAAGGGATAAAAATACTTTCCTATGGTAGAGAGGACTATAACTGATTTCTAAACAAACACTACTTCAAATATATAATACATAGCATTTCATGTTTCTTTTTTATAAAAAAAAAAACAAAAACAGGATATGATAACCTTTGAACTAAGATGAATGATAATCAAGAGAACTATCTTAATTAAAAAAAAGAAGGTCTTCCTCAAAGTGAACAAAAAGTTTCAAAAGTTGCAACAGATTTATAGAAAAATTATCTTAAGGCTACGAGCTGTTAGATATACTTTTAAGATTTAACTGTAATTGGTCAGATATCAGGATATGAGATGTTCATTTATCTTTCTTTCATTTGGTCCTCATATGTGTTTCCATTGTTTAGGCCCTACCGGTCTGCCCCATTCAGGCATCATGTGATGCGGCTTCCAAAGATGAGAACAAAGAAAAGAACAGATATGTCAACATCCTGCCATGTGAGTGATACCTGAATGCTGAGTCAGGCTGCACAAGTAATGACATATTTATTTCTAACCACACCTGGGTTGGTTACTTTCCACTCACCAGGGATTGAGTTAACAGATACATATAGTATTTTTTCTCTTTTTACCAATAACTTCTCCTTTTGTTTCAGACGATCACTCCAGGGTTCATCTCTCGTCTCTGGAAGGAGTCCCAGATTCTGACTTTATCAATGCTTCATTTATAAATGTTAGTACTTGCTCATTATTTTTATTCCATAAGAAAATATCTACTTCTGTTAAATATGCTGTAATCTCTCCTTTTGGTATTTTTTGTTGCAGGGGTACCAAGAGAAGAATAAGTTTATTGCAGCTCAAGGTGAGGGCGGCGGCAGAAGCTGTGCTGTCGTTCGCTGCTTATCTCAATGATTCCTCTGTGCTGATTGTAATGTTCCTTCTGATCTCAAAGGGCCAAAGGAGGAAACAGTGAACGATTTTTGGAGGATGATTTGGGAGCAGAACACAGCCACCATTGTCATGGTGACCAATCTGAAGGAGAGAAAAGAGGTAGGCGAGGAAGATCTTCCTTAGAACTGCTTTAACATATTTGCATTTAGATGGTTAACCTTTGATTTGAATATTTAAAAAAACTACTAATATGCTGATAAGTAGTGGTTTTAACGAATGTGGGGGGGGGGGGGTAATTAACAACTTTATATCTCTAAATTTCCTGTTTCCTCTAATGTTACAGTTCTGGTGAAAATGGAAACCAATGTGCAGGTGTTTGATTCTTTTATTTTCAGTGTAAGTGTGCGCAGTACTGGCCGGACCAGGGCTGCTGGACATACGGGAACATCCGCGTGTCTGTTGAGGACGCAGTGGTTCTGGTTGACTACACAATCCGCAAATTCTGCATCCAACAGGTATTAAAAAAAAAAAAAAAAAAAAGTGTTTTTTGGGGTTTTACTCATTAAAGAGTTGGAAAATGGAAAATTACTCATCATATTGCACAGCTGAAAGGCTAGACAACCTCTTAGCTTGGATATTAAATATTAGGGTTCAATATCTGTTGGTTTGAAGCATCTTTGTAAATACATACATATTAACAAAGCGGCATCTTATCTACGAACATCATTGTTAAAGAAACGGATAAATGGCAACATGAAGGACAGAAAAGGAAACAAAAATATTCCCCTTGAAGTGAGGAAACTGTTTCGCTTTTTTCTTTAATGCTACCTACTTTTGAATCTGTCTGGTTGAAATGCTGCTGCTTGGTTGCATTAAAATAATGCAAATCAAGAAAACAACATAAATCATTATTTCCCAGCTTTCCCTTTTTAGTTAGTTTAGGCTTGTAGCTACTGGTTATATATCTTTTTATGATGAAAGTGGAGAACTAACAGGATTTGATAAGATCTCCTCGACAATCTCAGTGTATGTTTAATTTATAAGATGTGAAATAGTAATTAAGACAAAATCAAATCATGTAGATGTTAAAATGTATACCCTGGTGGTGATTAGCAGTCCTCTGGTTGTATGGTACTAGCATTCCCAATTCCGTTTACAATGTGTCACCAGGAGGACTGAAAGAATTTGGTGGATCAAATTTGCTATTTATGAAGATTTAAGTTTTGGAAAATCTGGATTGTATTTTTACAAAAGCACTACTGAAGATTCCATTGTTCAGAATATTTACAGCATGTTTCTGTTTGTTCTTAGAGTTATCCAACTCTATATATCTGCATGGACCAGAACAATGTTAAAGAAAGTGTATTTGTCACAACTATAGCCCCAAATAGTTTTTGTTAAATTAAAATTCTACAGAAATACGTTGGTGTTATATTCTGGTACATGCATTTTTCCCACACATATACGTTTAATTCAGCAGCCACGTCCAGATGGCAGCTGCCATAAAATGAGAGAGTGATCGGCCCAGATTAGATGTAGTGAGATGTGAAAGCCAACTTCAGCCGTCCGCTTCGCCTGATGCCGGTGCAGTTTGTTATTGGAGCTCTGCTGCTCTGAAAAATCCAGAGCCTTTAAAGTAGGATCGGGCTGCATTTTTGGAAATCTACGTTCCCACCTGGAAACCTCTTGATATCTAAAATATCATTATCAAAGCAAGGCGTTTATGCACTCACCTTTTTCTCTGATGCTTTTATAAACATCTGTTTTAGGTGGGGGATGTTTCTGGAAAGAAGCCTCAGAGGCTCATAACTCAGTTCCACTTCACCAGCTGGCCAGATTTCGGGGTTCCCTTCACTCCAATCGGTATGCTCAAGTTCCTCAAGAAAGTCAAGAACTGCAACCCAAATTATGCAGGCCCTATTGTTGTTCACTGCAGGTTAGTGTCTGGCTGGATGTTTGTTGTTTCTTACACATTTGGTTACAAGAAGGTGTTCCTGTCTCACAGTGCGGGCGTGGGAAGGACAGGTACGTTTATAGTGATTGATGCCATGTTGGACATGATGAACACAGAGAGGAAGGTGGACGTGTTTGGCTTCGTCACCAGGATAAGAGCCCAGCGCTGTCAGATGGTCCAGACCGATGTACGTTTAATCTTAACAAGCCCCGTCAAATGGAAGCACAAAGTAATGAATATCAGTCAATAATCATCTCCCTTTATTCCTCACAGATGCAGTATGTTTTCATCTTCCAAGCATTGTTAGAGCACTACTTGTATGGAGACACAGAGCTAGAGGTGACCTCGCTAGAGTGCCACTTAGCTAAACTTGGTGCTAACTCACCTGGAGCTGGCTGCAATGGGCTTGAAGCTGAATTTAAGGTCTGCTTCTGTGTTATTTGCTTGTTAAAAAAAGAAAATCTACATTAAAGTTTAGCATGAATAAAATAAGTATTTTACAACCTCCAGAAACTAACATCAATCAAGATTCAGAACGACAAGATGAGAACGGGCAACCTGCCTCTGAACATGAAGAAGAACAGAGTGCTACAGATCATTCCATGTGAGTTGTTAATAATAATACATTTTATTTAACAGCACCTTTCTTGACACTCAAGGTCACTTTACAAATAATACAAAAGATAAATAAAAAGAGATGGAAATACAAAATACAGATACAGGAACATAAAAAAAAAACAATCATGGATAGGGAAAAAAGCAGTATATTCACAGATAAGCGAGCTGGAACAGATGGGTTTTGAGTCTGGCTTTGAATAAGGGGAGAGAGTCAATACTGCGGAGGTCGGGAGGAAGTGAGTTCCAGAGCTGGGGAGCAGAGCGGCTGAAAGCTTGTTGTCAGGGGTTGTTGATTTGAGTGCAGTTCATACCTGCTAATGAAGCCCAAATACATCAACGTTCTCTCATTAACAGATGAGTTTAACAGAGTCATCATTCCTGTCAAACGGGGAGAAGAAAACACGGACTATGTCAACGCCTCCTTCATTGATGTAAGTGTTTAAGAAATGCTTGATCCACATCTTTTAGAATTTAACCAAACTCCTCCCTTTTTGGACGATCTTTCCTGTCTTTCCTCTTGCTGGTTGCAGGGCTACCGTCAGAAAGATGCTTACATCGCTAGTCAGGGACCCCTGCTGCACACCATAGAGGATTTCTGGAGGATGATCTGGGAGTGGAGGAGCTGCTCTATTGTTATGCTCACCGAACTGGAGGAGAGAGGACAGGTGTGTCCAAGAACTACGTTATAAATCTGGTTATTAACTAAAATAGATTGATTTAAGCCTTATGCTCAGTTCTGATAAATAGACATTATTGTCTGGTTGTTTTTTCAATGTGCAAAATTTTGCTAAAGTATAATTGCTGATATTAAAAATGCTTCTATGAAATAAAGATAAACCAGTACAACTTATTTATATATAAACTTAAAACTATTGTTGGAAGGTTAGAAGTGGGGAGGGTAGGGGTTCATCTTGCTGCAGTCTGACCTTTAGGTGTCGCTGAAAATTAAACACATTAGCTTCAACAATGAAACAAAAACAACATCGGAGCTTCCCATGACATCATGGTGCAACTGCTGAATGCACTAATGAATCTGTGAACACCTGCTCGTAATCGACCAGTGCGCTGAAATCTACCAAAAATTTCAGCATGATGATGTATTCTGAAATATTTCCATGAGTCAGGTTTAGCTTTGTGACCACTGACTGTCCATGTTAGTATCACCACTACATGTGTTAGTAAGTCACTAGTTTTAGTTTGGCCTGAATTTCAACGGATCAGTGGTTCTCCTAACCTTTGGTTCTTGATGGTCTGCTTCGTCAGGACCTGTTAAGTGCTGAAACAGCAACAGGTTCATGAGCAGCAGTAGGTACTTCATGTCCAGATCTAAGGTAGCAGAGCTCCTGTTGCTTAAACTAGTGAAGAAGGAAATTCTGGTTCTGATGCAATCCTGTCATAATACACCAAGGTATCACGTTCAGACCTAGACTGTTTTTTCCAGCAGGAGATGGTTTCATAATCCGATTTATCATGTTTTCTTCTCCTGTCACATGGAAGGCCTTCATAGCCTGCCAGAACCAATATCCATTCATCCATCTTATCCCAAGTGGGGTCGCTAGGGGTGCTGGTGCCTATCTCCAGCTGTCTATGGGCAAGGGGCGGGGTACACCCTGGACATTCACACACAGAAGAAGCCAATTAACCTAACAGTCATGTTTTTGGACTGTGGGAGGAGGCCGGAGTACCCCGAGAGAACCCACGCATGCTCAGGGAGAACATGCAAACTCCATGCAGAAAGACCAAAAACCAAAAATGACTCTATTATCTGCAGCAAGACCTGGGTCCTAACAACCTTCCTGTTGGTATCTTTATATAGTCCTTCATGGCTGCTTTTCTTTTTTTTTATTTTATTTATTATTTCATTTCATTTGATTAATTTAATTTAATCTTATAATGTTCTTGAGAAATGGGTCCAATCCATGGAAATGTAACCTCGTATCTTACTTAAGACTGAAAGAATTTGCTGCTAACATTATGTGAAGAATATATAAAAAGGGGAGTGGTGGCCTAGTAGTTGGAGCATAGAGCTAGGAATCCTGAGGTTCTGAGTTTGAGCCTCACTCCCACAGGCTGCCACTTTGGGTCTCTGAGCAAGACCCTTAACCCCCCATTGCTCTCCAGGCGCCACACAATGGCAGCCCACTGCTCCCCAAGGGGATGGGTTAAATGCAGAGGTAAATTTATCCAATGTGAGATCAACAAAGTTAAATTATTATTACTATTAGTACGTATAGTGCGGTATGTTGTGGTTACGGCTGATGAGTGCATGTCTCAAAAGAGGTTACTCTTCAAACTTTCAGATTGTATGCATGAAATTATAATTTCCAAATAGAAAATAAGCCTAAAAGTTCTCAGTTCCATGCAGTTCTGATAAACCTCATGATCTTTTTGCATGCTTGTGTCCTTTAGGAGAAGTGTGCTCAGTATTGGCCCAGTGATGGAGTGGTGTCACACGGGGACATCATCATCGAGCTGAAAAGGGAGGAGGAGAATGAGAGCTACACGGTTCGGGACCTCTTGGTCACCAACAACAGGGTGAGAAAGGACTTGGACCAAACCTCTGCTCAGCTCTGCCTAATCAGAGAATGGCCCAGCAGCCTCTTTGTTGTACTGCACATGGTGAATGTTGTTGTTGATGATGTCCAGGAGAACAAGGCTCGACTGGTGCGTCAGTTTCATTTCCACGGCTGGCCAGAGGTTGGCATCCCTACAGATGGTAAAGGCATGATCAACATAATCGCTGCGGTGCAGAAACAGCAGCAACAGTCTGGCAACCATCCCATCACAGTTCACTGCAGGTAAGAATATTGACCCCAGATTAAGCTCTTCTCATTTATTTGTGTTCTGAATATGATTATACCAATTGAATAGGGACACCAACGGTTCAATGTGTCTCGTATCTCAGTGTTTACCACTGGGAGGCTGCTTGAACTGATGCTTTGTGTTTGCAGTGCCGGTGCTGGCCGGACAGGGACTTTCTGTGCTCTTAGCACAGTTCTGGAGAGAGTGAAGGCAGAGGGCATCCTGGATGTCTTCCAAACAGTGAAGAGCCTCAGACTACAGAGACCGCACATGGTGCAGACACTGGTAGGAGCCTCTCAAACCAAAACAGTTTGGTTCTTAAATGAACTGCTTCTTTGTCAGTGACTTTTATCTCAGATAGAAAATGGACTGTGGTTATATTACTACATCAGGGGGGGTTACAGAAATATATAAAATAGAAGTTGAAAGATTTATTTAATACCCTCTTAGTACCACTTCACCTTAGCTGCTGGATGATAGAATAACAGCTGCACAGCTCCATGACCTCACAGCAAGGTTCTTAATCTACCTTTTTATTTCTCCTCTTACCGTATAAGACGCACATTTTGCCCAGTTTCATGAACAAAATGATTTTCTGTTTCTGTTCTGCAACAGAACCAACCTTAAAATCAAATGTCTATACAAGAGAAAATAGGATCACTGAAAACAAACTGTAGTGCCTAGCTCAAGCCATTTGATGATTGAATTACCTTAGCAGGAAATCACAAGTAACATGCCTAGAAAAATGATTGAGGCTTAACTAAATATATTAGAACTGATTTAATTACTTTAGGTATATCTTAATAAAGTTGTATATCTTTAAAAATCTAGTTTATTCTAGGGATTCTGCTCTATAAGGGAACTTATGTTTTCTAAAGATGTTATACACAGGATAGAAACAAAGTGGGCCTTTACGTGATGGTTTACTACAAATCCATTTAATGACAGCAGCAATCAGGCGAAGAAGTAACTGTTTATTTTAGTTTAATTTTCATGTTGGCTTCTGTCTGTCTGTTGTGCAAACCAACCATAGTAGAGCAAAAAACTAATGTTACTATACCAGCAAAACATTTAGCATGTGGCTACAGCAAGCTGCTAATGTAATATCCCTGCTAATGTATTGAGCTTATAAGCCTAACAAGCTTTTGGAAAGTGTGTCGTCTGTAAACATTCATCGCTGCACAGCAACTGCTACAGGATTACAGCTACAGTAGTAGCCATTCAAAATTTCCCTACTTTGGTTGATGGGCCATTGGCTGGTCCCGTATAATTCTTTTTTTTAAATATCAGTATTTGTACTAAAATATTCTTTCTATCAGTATTTATGGACATGGAGATCTAAAGAGAAGCATCATCTCCTGGTCAGACCCTGTATTTCAGTGAAAGGGTGGAGTCAGAGTAAAAAATATGCAAAAGGGGGGTCACTCTTGTGGCTGGAAGTAGGAGGGGATTTAGCTGGGAAGTGGGCTGCCATTCGGCTGGCGCTTGACTGGGAAGAGCCATTTTGAATGTCTGCTACTGCAGGTTAGGCCTCACAGAATCCTCTGTGATCTCAGATCCTTTTCATATCAAGCTCAAAGCAGCACCTATAATGTTTTCTTACCTGCCCAGTCAGAAGTAAGCCATGTGGGCTTCAGTTTTCAGTCCCAAATCCAGCTGATGTCAAGCGTGTATCCCATATTTATCCCTGCATATTTTTGTCTCGACTCACGAGATGCTGCTATAATTTTTTTTCTAGGCAGTGCCACCTTTTAGTGGGCTTTGAGTAAATGTTGGTAGTTTGCTGACTGCAGAATAATTCGTTACTATACCTGACAGTGTTTGAAACAACCTTCTTCTACTACCACTGAAACAATCATGAAAATTCATGGAAATGTGGAAATTCAGCCCCAAATTGCAGCACACAGCCTATTCAATGCAATGGAAACAAAGGTGGTTTTGATTTTTAATGCTTCATCACAGATTAGAATAAAAAACTTGATGTGTGTGCAGTTTTTATCATATTAAAAGCAAACTCTGCATTCCACTTTTGTTCAAGATCATACAGTCCAGATAAGATTTTCCTTATAGGTTCAGTTTAAAAGGGCAACAGTCAGTGATTTAGGGAGCAATGCTATCTGCTTGTAAACAAAACACGTTAAGGCTAACTATGTCCTTACATTAGATCAGAGCTATCGTGTTTTTAATTTTTCCTTTCCGCATCATCTCCTCAGGAGCAGTATGAGTTCTGCTACAAAGTGGTCCAGGAATATATTGATGCGTTTTCTGACTACGCCAACTTCAAGTAGGGCCTTTCCGAGGAGCGACCAATGGATGGACATCCACATACACTTATTACGAGTATAAGCGTGTAGCAGAACACATACAATGTCTTGCAGCAACTGCATATTCCCGTTCTGAGGGAGGATAAAGAGAGACTGATGATGCAATCAGGGGATGGGAATAAACTACCCGCTGGAAAAGGGAACAGATGTCTACGCCTGGAGGACGGGGCGGCGCAGATGGACACAAAGTTACTGAGATGCCTTCTTGAATATTTTGTAAGGATGTTAATAACAAACCATCCCCCTTTTTTTCTTGCTTTACATTTTCACCCTCAACATGTGTATATATATATACTTACTGTGTTACATTTTATCACTTTGTTTTCAGACACAGTTTTGAGTTTGGCTGCATTTTCAAGTGGCACCTGTAATGTATTTTATTGGTATATACAGATATATAAAAAAATATAAATATATATGAATACAAACCAAATGTTTTGGTGGCTAATGTGCAACATCAAGCGTCAAGATAATGATGTTTGTTTTTGTTTTGTTTTTATGATTAAGGTTTAGCGAAAGAGACTTAAAGTGTTTTTAAACTTGGCCTGAGCCTCTTTGTAGCGACACGTTTCAGGTAGCAGAAGAGTTGACCCTAAACTGTTTTCTACTCCCAGATATTTCTAAACAAACTCACATGAGTAAAAGCCTGTTGCATCATCAATACGTGGCTGAAAACTTTATTCAAGACATCCACAACCTCTCTTTGTTTCAGGGGTTCGAAGCTGATTTGCAGTCCCAGGCCTGAACCTCCGTGGCGTAGCTCATAATCTCAGGTTTTCACTCATTATCGGCAGAATTTGAGTGTTTAAGCTCTAGTTTAATGTGGCAGAACGAATCCACTGTGTTTTCCTCCCATCACTGTCTGTAGTCTGCTATGTGCCAAAGTCCTTCACTCCCGTTTGCTCTATTAGCCCAAGACTTTCAGAACAAACTATCCAGCAGTAGAGATCCATGGATCGAAATCTAGCAGCTGATCTTCGGTTACTGTGAAGCTTTGACATGCAGATTCCGAATTTAGCCATTTCTGTTATTTCTGAACTACTGTGACACAAGAGCAGCGTGAAAAGAGATTTTTCTCACCTTCTAGCCATGAGAAGTCAATAATTATATAGACTAGTTACAGAGTGGCTCTCTGTTTATGCGAGGGCCATTACTGTAAAACAGGGTTTGACTATTTAAAAACAAAGACAAAGGAATTACAGTTAACATTTAAACCGTAAGAATCTCCTGTTAGCCATTAGCATCCCGCTACTAAAACAGCCTTCTGTGATGGCCCTTAATTTAGATCTTCTGCTGCGATGCCTTCCTTTTGACTTTAATGGGGCTAGAAATGACTATTATCAATGTATCTCCCTTCCCTCCTTTACCACTTCTACACCACAGAGTGCGCATGTTAGCGCTGCTTGCTAGCCTTAGATATGGTGCGTTCACCAATCAGGGAAAGATCAGATCAGGCTAAAATCAGTGTTCCAGTGACCTTGTTCATTCCTGGAGTCTAACTAAGCATTTATTTAAAAATTGGTGGACTTCAATATTAGCGGGTTTTTATTCCATAAGATAAGATGCTTCTCAAATGCTTTTAACTTCTCTGTTACAGCATCATCACCTCATTTGATAATGAGCCGAACCACAAATATAGGCAGAACTTTTTTCTTTTCCAATTTAAATTTGCAAATAGTAAAAATTCTGTTTATTTTTTTATGTTTTTCAATCTTTTTTTTTAAGCTTATATCTTCTTTAAGGGACGACGGCCATCTTTTTTCCCCCACCAGAAGAGGCTTAACCTGCCATCTTTGTGAAGATCCTAAGACTCTATTGTTTTACTTGGCTGCAGTAATCTTACAAAAACTAGGGTCACTTTTGAGGCTGTGCCCTTTGCGACTAATGAAAGAAAAGCGATTTCGTTCAGCAAAGGTCTGACATGAACAGAGTTTGAAAAATCTGATTGAACAAATCAGGGTTTCTTTTCCTTTGAAGGATTTAGTTTTTTTCGCAGCCCGTTTCATACATAAACCAAACACAGCCATTCTTGCGCACAATCTACATAACAATAACCTCTTGTATTTGATAACCTTTATAAAAGGAATGAGCACAATCAAATGATCTTGCTGCGGTTAGGAAGTGTGCGCTGAATTCAAAAGAAAAGATGATTGCATAATTTTGACCGTTTGAGCACTCATGCAATATTTGCACTAAAAGTAAAGCCCTTAAATCCACCAAAAGGTAAAGCCAGAGAGAAAACATGGTCTTGTATTTAGAAGAAGAAGGACGTCTAGGAATGTTTCAGAAGCTCCTTCAGGTCTCAGCTCCCCTCTTAGATCCATTTACATGGTTCCATTCCCTGAAACCGTGCATCCTTGCTTTTAAAGGCATAAAAATTGCCAGCACTCAATGGGAAGTGCCGTGAATCCCCCCCACCCCTTCATTAGTGCTGGGGCTGCCATTATGTTAATAGAAAAGGAGGTGTTTAGTGTTTCTGTGTGTGCTTAGGTTACATGGTATTTGTTGCGCAGTTTGATGACACTGCAGTTTGGAAGCCAAACATGACACTGTGCCAACCCACCAGAGGATCTATTATTTCTAAATTGAAATAAAAAGTGCCTCAGCAGTAGGGTTTATTTTTAAAGCCAGCCGAATCTCCAGGCTTAACTCTCCCGAGGTGTTGGAAGCAATGTTAACCTTTTGGGGGTTTTTTTCTTAACTGGCACGCTCGTCCCTCGCCATCCTCTATTTAACCGAGAAATCCTTTGTTGTATGGAAGAGGAGCCAAAATTCAAGACTGTGTCGATCACTCTTCCCTACACATTCCCTTCAGTTTCTATCCCTTGTATGAATAGACGAAACTAACGTTTAGATGCTTTTGTGACTAATTTAATTTGAATGTTTTGGCTTTATTTCCATATCAGTGAAAAATGGGTCCATTACAGCTAATCTGTTGTGGATTTCTTTGAGTAAATATGTATAGTTTTTTTTTTTTCTTTTAAGAAATGTAGTTCAATCTCTTATCACAATAAAAAGAATAACTCCCTTTATTTTCTAAGACATCCCATGTGAGCATTTTTGATGCCTCATTGAAATCATTAAGAAACAGCCGATAGCCGGAGTATAAAATCCATCTTGCTGCCACCTTTTTGTGTCCGTTATCAAACTTATTCCTTTAACTGTGTCCTTTGGGCGGTTTAAGTGGTCCACTTTCTCACCCCTCTTATGTACATAATGTAAGTTTATTTATATGTCATGTTGTCTGCTGCCTCACTTATTTTTCATTTCTGTCACCACCCCACCCATACACACTTTCATCTTTTTTTCCTTTTTTTTTTTTAAAGGTGTTAACTGAACTGTATCGGGACCATTTGAAATGTTAGATATTTTGGCCATTTTTAATTTGAAAAGAATGTCTTAAGCAATTTTTTTTAAGTATTTGTTTAAGTTGGTTTCTAGTGTTTTTGTTATTCATATATGTATATAATTATATATATGATAAAATTATATATAATTATATAATGCTAAATGGCCTTTATAAACAAGATACTGTTCGAACCTAATAAAGTGCTTGGAATTTTAACATTTGTACAGATTTTATTGTTCAAAATGCAATTAATCTTTTTTAACGGAATGTGCTCAAAGTTTTCTGTTGATTTGGAAAAGTTATTTAATGAATTAAATATTTAGTTTTGGTTCATAGATTTAAACTACTTGGATTATTTGTTTCCTAACCAGACATTGCTAATATATAATCCTGTTGGAGACTTTGGAACATTATGGCATTTGTGTGAGGAAAGAAAAGTAGTTTTATTTATATATATATATATATAAATAAATATATATATATATATATATATATAAATAAATAAAATAATTAAGATTTTTTTTTTTTATAGTGATTTGAAAATCACTTTTTCAAGTCCTCGCTGGAAAGCTGAAAAAATTGGATTTGATGTACCAACATCTGAGGATCCAAGCACACATCAGCATGAGTAAGGATGACTTTACCAGAGGAAAATTCATGTTTTAATAAAAGTCAAACTAGAGTCAAGAGCTAAATCAGGGAAAAAAAGGCTCCATGACCTTGATAAAAAAAAAAAAAGAGACGACCTTCCAATCAGGCAACTGTTTACAAAGGAATGCCAAATATTTCCTTGACTAGGTGCAACACTCCTAATGATGGACTAAAACCATTTTCCTCAGATTTAAAGTGCGCACTCACCTGCGCTAGTAGCTGATATATAAATATGATCAGGATGTGTGCTGGTGTATTCCAGCTGCTGCTCATGTTTGCAGATCCTCCACTTGATTAAACAAAGTAAAATGTATTTGAAACACGTATACGCTTATAGAATAGAAAATCCCTTTATTGTCCCACAATGGAGAAATTGTGTTTACAGCAGCAGCAAAAGATTATAGCAAAAGTGGTCACACAATAATATGGGCATCAGAAAAGTGTATAAAAATAAGTAACAGTTATGAAATAAAATAGTGTTTTTACAATATAAATACACTGTTGAGAATAAATAATCTTAACAGCTGTAGACATTTCTACTGTCCATTTTACTGTTCTATACTCTGTATGGTGAAAATATTGGTGTGTTTAACAGCAAGTCAACCTGGACATTTTGTTTGAACATTTTTTTTGCTCAAATAAGACATTTTTGTTAGATATGCTAGTATAATTTCATTAGGAGTCCCATGACTGTACCTTCATTAGTTCCACTTTCGCCACTAGAGATCAGTATTGTATAGGTTTTAAACAATCAGTTGACAATATCTGCTTTATTCGCCTTTTTTTCTGTTCACAAAGAAACTGAAACATTATTTGATTCACCTAAACTCTTAAGGCATTTTTGATAAAAGAAAAATTTTGGGGAGTATTATTTTTTTATTATTCTAACAATACACTGCATCCAGAAAGTATTCATGCTACTCTTTTTCACATTTAGTTATGCTGCAATCTTTTTATGGTGTTATTGAATTAATACTTTTCCTATAAAATATAGACACCAATTGCAATTAAAGCCTCGAACTGTTTAGTTTTTGTTTGTTTTTTTAACAGATGCAAGTAGAATATGAGGATAGAGGCAAATCAGCCAGGAAGCTGGTGATCCACTGATGGATAAAGGCAGCAGTGTTTTATCTGGGTCAGCCTCTGGTAGAGGATTTTGAAGGCCAGCTGAAGTTCACCACCTGGGTTCAGGTACATCCAGGGTGGTCAGAGTGTTGCAGGACAAACTGTGGTCCCAGGATGGCTGCATTATCCGCCTAAATGTTGCACGGTCATCAAATTACAGGGGGTCTAGCAGTGAACCTGGAATCTGCTTCAGATGCTTTAACACCAGTCACTAAAAGGTTATAATGATCTGAGAAAAAAAAAAAACAATTAACTCTGATTGAGTTTATTTATTTATTTATTTTATACATTTCAAGGTAAATCATGGTTTGAATTGTGTAATAGCACATGAGTGGAATTTATTTTTTTTTTTTTTTTGGGGGGGGGGGGGGGGGGGGGGGGGGGCGTTCTCCAAGAATACAATAAATTAATAAATTTTTAAGTTTTATGTAAATTTCTTTGATAGAATGGCAGTTAAATATAAGGTTTTTAAGATGGTAAAAATATACAGGTAAGATAGGTCAATATTTCTGTTTTATTATTTATAAGAAGGAAGACCAGGTGTTGTACTTGATCCTCATTCCACCATTTCAAATGAAGCATTTTTGTTACCAGATTATACAGCACTATGTTACTCAAACGGCCTGAATGGATTCTGCTTTTGAAATGATCAAAAATAAATATAAATCCCGTCTATTCTGTGACCTGGGCAGGAATCCTCCTTGTTTGTTCCGGTCGCCATCGGATTGCCCTGACACTTTCATTGCAGAGTGGTCAGCAGGGTCAGAGCGATTTGCAATCATTTGGGATTAGGCTTTGAAGGGGAATAAAAGAGAAAAAAAAAAAATCTGAAAATGGCTGCTACCAGGCTGCCAGCCCTAAAAGGTGTGCACTGAGGATAATTTATGTCCTATTGTAGAGATATGACTTTAAATTACACCAATGTCTACCAAATGTCAGTATGAAGGGAATGTTAAAACAATTAGCACAAGAGGACTTTTTTTTTTTTTTTTTGCAATTATATCCCAATCTATTAGTAGCAATGCTCAAATGAAATGTTTCTTCTTTTTACTAAACTTTTTATACTAACTAAAAAGAATAAAAACTAAAAGATTATAAGAGAAATCTTATTGGTTATGAATTATATACTTTTTTTTATTGGTCTACTCACCATTATCTTTGAGAAAAAAAGGGAGATTTTTGATGAATGGAACAAAAGTTCCAGTCATTTCGCTAAAATGATTAGACCTAAAATCAATCTACAATTACTCTGTTTCTCATTGATATATCTTTCTTCACACTTATACTACTTGAATCTGAGGAGGATGAAAGAGGAAGATAGGAGCAGCAGGCATTAATGGGCCTGAGCTTTCTGACTCATGCATCCTTTTTCTCAACTTAATGGAAACTTTATGTCTATCTACTATTAGCAGGTCTAGACAGGGGCCAACAGGGGTCAGTGCCCCTCTAGAACTTGTCCTGGACCCTGTTACGTCCCCTGCCCTGAAATGTAACACTGGATCCCTTTCTTATGATTATATGCACTAATAGAACTATTTAGATTGGCTAACTTAATATACCCAGGGTTTTTTTTTTTTACCCTGATTTTGTGTGTATTATTCTTTTATGTGCCCTTAAAACACGACTAATGAAATAGCTTCTTAATTGCACGGTCTGCCATACTTGCATGGGTAGATGGGAGATGTCCATATGTAGATTTGTATTCCAATTCCCAGAGTTAATTCTTTTTCTATGTTGTTCCTTTATAGTTTCTTGTCAATGGGAGTTTCTCTCTAGCAGTTTTGCTCAACAGGAGACCAAGTTTTTGTTGCCTTTTTTTTGCAGTACAGAGAGGAGAGATTGCTTGAAAGAGGGGTCAATGAAGCCATCTCTGTTAAAAAGGGAAAAACCATCACTGAACAGAGGGGGAGGAAATGGGTTTCACCTTCCAAGCGTTTACAATTCCATCATGGAACTCATTCCAAAGAAATTACATTAACCTGTACACATGTACATAATGGTTCAGTGGCCTAACACATAGTTCATACACAATAAACAACCCCAACTACTCAGGCAGAAAATGTGTTGAACCTTTGATTTGCATCTGATATGGAATGTGCTTAGGAGGATGGACCTCTATGCTGCAGAAGCACATCAGCGCTCCAACTACATAATTGAAAAAGGCCTCTGGATGGTGTCAAAATGTCTTTAGAAAAAAATTTAGCAAAAGGTTTTGTGGTTTCCATGACCTGGATGACTGAGAATTTACACAGGCAGATGGGATATTGTTTTATTACTAGAAACAGATCCACAAATTTGTCCCTGACCTGTCCACTCTGCTCCTTGGCCTTTATGATCCTGTTTGTTCACATGTACAAATGGAGGAAAAACAAAAAGAGAAATGATGTGTTGCTTCCCCTCCACTCTACAGCTTATGTCAGTTTATCATATAAATCCACATAAAATACTGTAAGTATTTTTTAAATGTAAATATAAATAATTATGGACGCTTTTTAAAAGCACCATGTGATGTGATGCTTTAAATGATCAGTTTAGGAAAGTATGCTGTTTTGATGATTATGATAACAGTTCATGTGCATAGTGAGTCGGCCTTTAAAATACACTGAAGCCGCTATTGTACCGACCTCCTAAATACCTTTGACATCTGCACCTCGCTCTCTTCCCCTTGGATCAACTTCAGATTCATGGAGCAATTCAATCAGGAGTCCTTTTTGTCAAACATGTGAGCTCAGCATCATTACGTCTTATTTTCATGCTTACACGTAGCAGTGTTGTGTATAAGCCCATTCATTGAAGACATCTGCACAGAGACAGCTCATGTATTAGAGAGAGAATAATTCAATCTCCTCAGCATCTAACTGTATTTGCTTCACTCTGATTTGCAAAGTTGTTCGTAAGCATAGTTTAGACCAGGGGTGT